GCAAAATAAGCAGCTAACTGAATCGATAAGACAAATGGTCCGCGCGGCCCCGGCCCGGCCGCGGCAACCCCAAACTGCTCGCATCCGCACCGATGATATACGAGGGTGCTTCCTGACATCGGCCAGTAGCTACTTGATTTAGCGGAAAGTCAGATAAAACCTAATGCGAACAACAAAAAAATATATCACAATACCCAGCGCCATAAATATGACGTGTCGTAAACCTTTATGCCGTGTATCGCTACTGCTATGAGAAATTGCCGTGCCGAAATTCGTACACGTAGAAAAACTAAAATATTTTTTGGCAAAATATGTAGAAGCTTTTACTTTTTAAAAAAGGAATATTCAATCTCAACCGACTGAGGAGCATATTTTAGTAAACTAACTTACAGTAGACAATTTTACGATATCTTCTCTGTCTGCCCCTTCCGCTTAGAAGAATTGAATTCCGATTCCAATTCCGTAAGAATTGATTTGTTCTAATTAATGAAAAATTCAGGAGCGCACATTACACGTTTAAGTATGTATTATTATGTTAATTAATTGTTTAGATTTAAATACACTATGATTGAGCTTGTATGGTGGCATGTATGACGTGTTTATTAGCGCTGCAATAAATCGTATGCGGGCGGCGCCGGTGGTAAGCCGCGACCGCCGCGCGCGTGTCGCCCGGCCTCTTACAATGTTCTTCACATCCCTCCACATTATTTGATGACTTTGATTTACTTTAGGGATTTCATTTCGACATTTACACGCTTAGGAGATTTACTTATTCGGTTTATTAATATCATATGAATATTTTTGCAGTTAGTCTCTCACGGTGTAAATTTACTTACTTAATTTATTTAAGGAACGTATGTGGTATATTACAAAAGGAAATTAATGTCAATTTCAACAATAATAGATTTTGTGAAGACAAAGTGTTTATTATTTTTTTTTAATAACATTAGGTACTTCATATCCTACGTGTGTTAGAACGAGATACTCAAACAAGGCATAGGAAAAGCCATCAGCGGTCGTTATCGGGTTTCGAGTCGACTGCGCGCTGTCCGGCGATCGCTCGACGCTCGTCCATCATAACGATATTGCTACGTCGACAATATTGTTACCCGCTTTCCACACCACCCCGCTCCTTACAATACAACCCTAACATTGCCGCACTGGACTGCAAATTATGTCGAGATGTCTTACAAAATCGACCTTTCATTTGTCTCCAACTTTAGCCCTCGACTCCGTCCGCGTGGAATTAAAAAGAAACAAAAGCAAGTAGCTTATGTGTTCATCCAGACTGACTATGACTATGACCAGATCCGTTCAACAGTTTATTCTACAAACTCTAACAAATATCCATCCATCTAAACTTTCGCATTTATAATAGTGGTTAGTATTAAAAAAAAACGAAAAGTATACCCTATGTAAACAATTAACATACTCGCGTGCACAAAGCAAAGTTTGGTTTCTAATTTTCTCTCTACATTGAACTATGCAACTAAATGTTACTTTCGGTAGCTTTAATTCCGATTGGTTATTTGCTGTACTTGAATAGCTTCTATCAAAGATCGTATAGAGTTGCCGAGGCTACGTTCACACATGTGTCACTCGTGTTTGTATCGAGCTAATCGGCTTAACCGAACTTCGACAGTCGCTTCTGTCGGCCCTTTACTGAATCGAAGGCGTTTTGAGAATCGAGATTAATTCACAGTATGTTTGGCTATTGTTGTACCGACGATTCCGTGCTTTGTATTCCCTGCATTATTTATTTAATAAACGGCGACATGTCTTTGTTGAATGTGTTTTCAATCAATACGAGAAGGCGTTAGACGTTCGTGAATGCGGATGTTTTTTGCTGCTTACAAATACCGAAGCGTAAAGGTATACATGAGTAGGTGTGATTGATATAAATATTGGTCCTCTAGAGATTTAAAGACATCGTTATATTGAATCAAAGCCTGTAATTATCATAATTTTTAAGATTCACTTCTGATATATAATTTTCTTTTAATCTTACTAATCTTACTTCTTACTAATATTATAAATGCGAAAGTTTAGATGGATGGATGGATAGATGGATGGATGGATGGATGGATGGATGTTTGTTAGCGTTTGTAGCCTAAACGGCTGAACGGATTTCTATGAAATTTGGCACAGGTTTAGAGCATAGTCTGGAAGAACACATATGCTACTTTTTATCGCGGGAATAGTTACGGTTCCCCTGGGATTCATTAATTTAGTTTTTTAATGTTTACTCGATCATTCTGCAACGGTTCAGCATATCTTATTGAAATTTGGCACAGATATAAAACAAAGTCTGGAGTACACATGGGATAAACTTCATCCCCGAGAAATGTCCGGTTCCCGAGGGATACGTAACTTTTTGTAATTTATATAGTTTGTATGTTTTTTAATACCACGCGGACGAAGTCGCGGGCAACAGCTCGTTTAAAATAAAATAGGTATACTAATGTGTATAGATGAAAGATTTTATTGATTTTATTAAGTAGGCCGAAACATCCCATTTCATAAATACTATCGCAATTAGATTTGAGAATAAGTTACAGTATCACTGAGTAAAATAGCCTATAATTTACACTAAAGGGATAGGTATAGATATGATGATAAAGATATAATGTTCTTTGCAACTTAGGTGAAGTTGGGTCGGATCGCTGTTATATTATAAAAATACTAGCTTTCACTCGCGACTCCGCTTCCGCCGCTTAAATAAAAAAAACATAAAAGCCCATGTGTTTTTCCAGATTGTTTTCTACATCTATCCAAATTTCTTCGAAATCCGTTTAGGCTACAAACTCTAAGAAACATCCATGCATCTATACTTTCGCATTTATAATAGTAGTAACTATGATATTAAACAAAATAACTATTCCTGCATAGAAGTCTAGATTATAATTTTAATATGTATTTGTATGTAAAGAAATGATTGTATTGTCCAGTCGGTCCCTAGTTACACGGTTGTTTTCGCTGGAGATACGTGAATGTCGTCAGAGGCGTTGCGTTCTATTTGCCAGTTAAATATTTGCCGGACCCGGGGCCGGGGTGTTATCTAATCACGCCGCCTACCGATAGCTTGCGACCCGATTACTCCGTATTTGCGCTCGTAGCGACATTCTTCTTTACACCTGTTCTACTTTCATAGAAATACTACCTAATCGAATCACTCATACCTTTTTCATAGACTTTAAAATCTATATATGTTATATATGTTCGTACTTTTTGAAAGTATACAATATAGTCGAAAAAATCTGCCGTGTAATTGATAGATATTGAATCCTTTATTTTAATTGAAAAAACTGTTACCCAATTATCCTCTTCTAGAAGTATTAATATGGGATAAAATGTTATGTTACAAGTTATAATTTATTCACTAACACTTTCTCCTAAGTAATATAAGGTCAAACGCCAACACAAACTATCTATAAATTTTTTTTTTTGTTCCGTTCAATGAACTGGCTCAAAAATCTACGCCAATGGTTCAGAAAGAACGACCGTTCGCTTTTTAGAGCCGCGGTGTACAAGAGTACAAGTTGCCCTAATGATCGCTGAACTTCGAAAGACGATTACAAGAAGAAGAAAAGATGTTCAGACACTCATTGCTCATCTTTTTCACACGTGTGCTGCAACAAGCTATTTTATCTAATGCCTGTCTAGTACTACAGTTTGGCTGTCAGCTCATCAAAAGTGTCCTTTTTTTATTGCCCGTGGGGAATGGTTTACGCATACTCCGCGCCCAGGGGAACACGATAGTTAAATGGGACGCTCCCCCCATAACCGAGGGGTTTATTGGGTATGCCCTCCATACCCACTAAACCCCTCGGTTCCTCCAACGCCTTAGGCCGCGATCCCGGCCTTCGTCTGCTGTCATTGGCAGTACCCTGAATTATCAAAACTATCCTATGCCGGGGTAAGTCATCGACGATACTGACAAAGAACAATTTGATTCAATCTGGGTTAAAAAATTGAATGATTAATATTAAAAGTGATTATTGTAAAATAATAAATGCGGTTAAGGCGCGGATCTTATAGCAAACGTGGTGCGGCGCTGTTATCTCAAGGAAAGCTTTATCGGTTATCGCCGATTCTTGTAAATAAATACACCCAGCGGCGGCGTGGAATATTCAATATTGTGACAGGTTACATTCACAATAAATACCAACGCAACAATACCTAAATTACATTAAAGTGTATTGGAGAAAAATGGAAACTTATTTTGAAGATTCAATTTAAATGTTTTGTTCTGTCTAAAAACTTGTATATTTTATATTGTTATCCTTAACATTATTCGTGCAAATTTAATTACTGAACATTATTTGTAAAAGTTTGGATGGATGGATAGATGGATGTTTGACACAACTATGTATCTCCGAAACAACTTAATGGATCTTGATTAAATTGTAGACGTAGAACATAGTCTTGAAGAACACGTAGGTCTCTTGTTATTTTTTTTTTACTCGAAGCATTCAAAGCCGTGGACAAAAGTTAGAGCAAAATATTTTGAAAATTCCCATTTTCTTTACATTTTACTTCTCATTGGTAATATTCCTGATTGTTAAATTTATTTATTACTATAGAAAACTGTGAAATTAATACGAAATATTCATGTTTTCTATATATTTGTCACAATTTTTCATTTGTGCAATTGTTTATAAAGGTGAAATAAAAATCAATAAGTCTTTTAATAATCACATAATAATTTATTTTAAAATCGGTTTATACAAATTTAATGTGTTTACTTAAAAAGTATTACTACATTCTACAATGATGTTAAATTATGACGATTTCAAAAATTCGCACCAAGTTTACATTTTCACACATTAAAGTTCTTTATTTCGGTAACTTATACCAATATTTACACAATATACACATTTAGCTACGAAGTAATTAAATTTATATAATTTCACTTTGGAATATACATAAATAATTATTGACTAAAGTATATTCGACTATAATACTGAACCTTACATCTAAATATTGCATTCTGATAAAATCTGGTCAATTTCTCATAATATTAGACAATATTAACTAATAACTTTTATAAGCTTTTTACATTAATATACAAATCTAGTTATGTAATGGAATGTATAAGTACCTAAGAGTTTTTCGCTGCCGAAACAAGTTGTTTTGTAACCAAAATTCACATTTATAGTAATTCATATCAAAGTACCGACTTTGTATAACCTTATTTTAAAATTATAATGGTAACTAAAAATTCGAAGGAAAGAGCTAATTAAAGATAATCATGCTACATCTTTACGCTGTTGAAATATTATAGGATAATAACGCATTGACATACTATTAAATAGGAACTCTATGCACCTTAAAACTTTTTAAATTAAATAAATAAATACTAATACTTCCAGTTTACGTAATATTCGAGGTCCCTCACAAAAAACTGCGTAATAAAATTGTCAAATCAAATGGCTTTTATCATTTCGTTATCAATGTACATGAAATCTTTGTTACTAAAGAGATGGATATTACTGGGCATAATGTTTTAAATTAACATTAAATTAATCAGTTTTTATATTCACAATTACTTGTACTAAATGTTTCATCTATTTTTCCGAAATAAAATGGTACAAAGATTACTTAAAAAGTAATAACGCTATCCCCAATTCGAAGCGATATTACTCCGTAACGACTAGGAAATCACTGATCGATTTTATAATCACCACCAACAGCCGCTTGGCTGGGATCCGTGGCCGACGGGCGGCTGGTGATGCATAGGCTGGTATGGAGGCAGCGACATACCTAATGGAGGAAGACCATCCGGCTTGCCTATACAAGGCCGGCCGTCCTTCACAAGAACTGGTACCGCCACACGGCGAGGAGAATTTAAACTTCCAACGTTTAAATCATGAGCCCCTTTCTCCTGCACCGCTCGTTTCGTCTTGTATCTATGGTTCTGGAACCAGATCTTTACCTGCGTCGGTGTTAAACGAATCAAACTCGCCAAGTGTTCCCGCTCTGGAGCAGAGAGGTATCTTTGCTGACGGAACCGTCTTTCTAACTCATAAGTCTGCGCTTTGGAGAAGAGTACGCGTCGCTTACGCTTCTTGTGCGCGAGATTAGGGTCGCTGGTGTTTGCCGGCTGGTCATGGTCCTCATCATCGTGGTCAATGTCGTCGTGGTCCTGGTCCTGGTCCTGATCGTGACGTGGGTCGGTGATAGTCGGCGACGAGGCTGAGGCTCCCACATAGGATAGCTCGGACGCGCGCGATGTGCTGTCCGGACTCGCTTGTTGACCAATTCCACCTATGAACAAAATTGAATCTTTAGAATACTAAAAAAAACATATCCTTATGCTTATACTAAAACTATGTGATAATATTAAATGTAACCTATTAATAGCTCTTAAAACTCTTAGGTTTGTATTACGAAGGCGTGTTTAAAAACAATCAAACAAGTTTTTTTTTTATAACAGTGTGTAAATATTTGTCTCTAGATAATTCCTGAAATGTACCGTTAATAAGTAGGTTAAATAACCCGAAGAATTTATCTATTTATAAGCGTAATAAAATCGAAAAGGTACAAATTGCCCAAATAAATGACATAGTGCATCGACACCATTGTAGCAATCATTGGACACTACATACTAAAACGGTTGTAATACAAAACACTCGTTCCTTAATCTCCACTTAATCTGGTAGGGATGTGCTCTATTTAACTCCAACTACATTCGGTTACAAACGAACAAATAATGGGACGTGAAAAAATCACAGCAAATATAGCATTGTCCGGAGCTCACCCCTCGCGAATTCAATGATTTCACACGGCTGTGATAATATGGATGGAGGGGGTTGAGTTCGGGGTAGGGCGCGGGTTGTGCGCAGGCTGGGCGTGGTGCAGGTCGCAGGGGGTTGCGCGGGGCCGGGAGAGGCCACCACTCCCAGCCCCCGGCAGCTGGGGCTCGTTTTGTTCCTCTATTGTACCGTTCACGTCAATAAACGCATCCAGATAGATACTGTTAGTAAACCGTGTTTTTTTATCGGTAAATGAAAGTAAACGTTTTTATGATGTTTTAAATTCAGTTAAAAAAAGTTATTTAAAATGACAAAATGATAAATCCTCGACAACTGAACACAAAGTTTGATTAGTTTTATATCTCTACGAAACTAAAGACTACTAATAAATGTCTAAAAATCTACTCGCGTACAAATATTATAAACATTAAAGATTCGTATTTTTGTACATATTGAAATAACTCAAAAACAACTAGGCCGATTGCACAATTTTTTTCACTATTAGAAAGATAATTTGTATGTGAGTAACATAGGTTATAATCTTTTATTATTTTTTAACTACATGGTGACAAAACCGATAGTGTCCAATAATGTATCAAATGATATTTTAAAATTTTGCTTTTAGCACGCACTTTATAATAACACAGATTGCAAATAATTTGTTGCTTCAAATGGTGCAATAATGTGGTTGTTATAACAACTGACAGCGGAACAACGCACGCGAACTCTGCGGTTTTGTTGGGTGTTCGCGAATTGAAATCAGTCATTAGTCAAGTTAACTATCATTCACCACTGATTGCTTACAATTACAATCAGAAAGCGAAACTATTCCGACTTCACTTTAATAAAACGCAAGGATTCCGTTGGAAAAAGTTGACAGATGAACCATGGCCTTACTGACGACAAACTATAACTAAAAATAGAGACGTGTTTTCATTCTCACATCATCTCATAATTATATGGATACTAGCTTTCGCCCGCGACTTCGTCCGCGTGGAATTTAAAAAAAACTAAATAGCCTTTGTGTTCTTCCAGACTATCCTCTACATCTATACCAAATTTCATGGAAATCCGTTCAGCCGTTTAGGATACAAGCTCTAACAAACATCCATCTAAACTTACGCATTTATAATAAAAGTATGATTAATTGTTAGTTTTTAAGATTTTTTCGTGAAAATGTAAGTTCGTGAAAATAATGTTATGCTTTTCCTTATGCAAAATTAAGAATGGTCATCTATAAGTCGTTTAACCATAAATCTCAGGCAATTTGATACATCGCCGTACATAGGGTACAATAAAATCTATAACTGTCATTGAATAATGAACGAATTGCATCCCTAACAGCCGCAAACAGTGTGTAATTGATAGTCGACAGCTGCTTGCTAACGGAGGGCATGAGCCCAGTCTATTGGTGACAAATTCGTTTCGCGTCGCACCCCACAGACAAACAATCGGAGCTCTGGTAGCCCCCTAGCAGTGAGGGCGTGAACCATTGACTACCCCGGACATAGTTCAACATTTAAAGACAATTTATAGTCAATTGTCGTGCTTTAATTAGGGTATCTCGTGAGAATACGGAACATTAAATTAGAGTTAATTTTAGCGTTTTAGACCGGAAATCATGCGTTTAGTAAACCCTATTTTCTAGACTTTTAATAACTGATTTATCTGCATTTTTAAAACATATAACAAAAGCGAAATACGGAGTTTATAATCTTTATGTGATAATAAATAGGAATAGTAAAAGATAATTTGACTTTATTCACAGATTTTTTTAAATCGTTATCGCGAAGAAGTGTTAACAAGCAATCGAAAGTACGTCCGCAATGAGTGCCCAAATGTTCGATAAAAGCGATAAAAATAATTAATGACAACAACAGATTAGCGGGTGAAGGCACTCGACTGGAGGAGCATTTCAAAAAATAATCTCGGCCTCTCGAACACGACTACCGAAACGCTATTAGTTTCGAGTGGGTCACCGCGAAACTTTGTGACTGAGTACGTATTTCCGAAACATTAACATCAAAACAACGATCAGTTATGAGAGAAGTAGATAATAGCATATTTTACAAGAATGCCTACGACAAAGTTAACTTACAACAAAATATAATTAACTAGAGAGAGAGCCAAGAAATGTTATATTAACTAAAATAAGCAAATAGAATATTTTCATGAATACTTTTCAAAGTTCAATAATAACCTATATGTTTTTTAAATTTGCATTGACATTTAAATTTACACTATTTCTCGATATTTATTTATTAAAAACTTTATGCACAACAATTAAATACTTATAATACAAATGTTTAAACTATACTTAAACAAAATATGTGCAAAGGCATTATTGCCATGAATATCTTACAGGCAACCCAGTGGAACAGGAGAAGCTAGACAATCGATATGTTGTTTATTAATTTTTAATTTTAATAGTTAATATTGAAAATTAAATTGTTTACATTCAATAAAAACGTTGTTTTCTTCGAGATGTAGTAACATTAACGATATAAATGTTAACCGAGATAACATGATCAGTAGGCAACATGCGTTATCGGATAAAATTGACATTTCATACGAACGAGTTTAACCAGACTTGTCTTACGGCATGATAACGTATCAACACTCGGTTTAGATAAACCTGTGCCGAATATCTCCACCCAAGATAAACAGTGTAGCAATATAACACATTTGACAACTTTATGTAAAGCCAAGCGTTAAGAAAACCAAAAGAGACTATAGGGTTATTAGTAGTAGTTATTACTAGTTTGTCATCATTATCACCATCACAGACCTAATTTAAGATAAGCCTTCGAAAGAATACGGCCCCGCCTTCCATTTACTAGCTAGCAGTTGTTAATTTATAATAATTTGTCATGATAGTTTTAACCACTGAGTCTTTCAATGTCATTCAGATAGCTGTTATTAGAAATAGTTTTTCTATTCGATAAAAAAACGTAATAAAGATGAAACTGAGAATTGTAAATATCATATATAATAACATATCCCAGCAGAACCCGATAAAACTTTTGTAAAATAAAATGTAAGTTAGTATTACGTGCCTTAGTGTGGAATAAGAAAAAAAAATCGAGCCTCTGTGTTCTTCTAAACTTTTATCTACCTCTATGTCAAATTTAAGCAAGATCCGTTCCGCCGTGTAGACGGAAAACTGTAATAAACATCTATCCACCAATCTAAACTTACGCATTTATAATATAAGGAAGTAAGGTAAAGAAGTAAAATCGATATTGAACACTATTCCCCAATCGATTTAAATTCTATAGTAAAGTACTTACCGATAGGTTCATGTTGGTCTAAAGAAAGCCATGGTTGATGATGTCTGAGCAGATCGTGAGAGTAATGATGTTGGGGCGGTGCGTAGGGCGGGAGTTCCAGCCCGCAGCCGAGCCCAGTCGGTGCTGGCGCAGTCTCCAACCCCTTTGCTTCGTTCAGGCCCAGGATATCGGAGATCTGGAACCCCGGTCGCTGGCCTGGCATCTTCATACTATCTAAGAGTCTGTAACAACGATAATTTTTATTAAGTATAATTTTTTATCTGCTAATATGAATTCAAATCAAACTTAGAACGTGCAAACGCATTCTCTAGTTGTATAAAAATTCTCTCGCTTAGAACTTTCACTTAATGTTGTTCCAAACTTAAAACCAACAAAGTATTTTTTTTATTACCGGTATAAGGTGTAAGTATTCGAACAAGTTTTCATTTACTATTATTGTAAACTTTACATATAAATAAAAGATTTCAACGCACCGTTACAATTCAATGTCAAAAAATCTTCGAGAATTACTAATATGTAGGAGTAAATACATGTATATTTATGTCAATTATCAGAATAGTATAAACTTTAATAAGAAATATTAAACTTACTCGGGACTAACACTCAATAATTTAGTCGCCTTTACTGTATTCCAAGTATGTACTATCAAATTTTGAAACATTTCATCCTTTACATTATAGATAACAAAGGGTTTACGTGCACCGCATTGTTACCACAAGAAGGTAACACTAACAAGTTAACATTTACAAATCCATCTCAAGGGGCTATATAATTAAAAGAAAACATAAAATTCCATCATCCGTTCGATTCAAGAACTCTCGAAAATACGTGACTGCAATAATGGGGCGGTTGATGTCACAAAGGTTGCTCTTAAGTCGATCTGTCTATTAAAATATGTTATAACACCTTAGCGTGAAACGTCCCGTACTAGTACGTGACATCATGAAAGGCGGCGATGCAAAGCCGGCAGGTTGTAAACAGGACGATTAACATGCTCTCACTAACTGAGCAAGAGAACTGTCCCATGATAAGTTTCTTTATATTTCAAGATAGCAGCGATCGATCAGTAACATCTTAATGCGCGATTCACGATTGGCCAGTACAGTTAGTAGTACTCTGTAACTGTATTGTATTAACTGGCACAGTGTGAACGGTAGCAAGCACCAGTGAGTCCGACTGTAATGGTCAAGTGTAAACCGGGCAATATTTATAATCTAAACAGTTTGAGAGTAAATCTAAAGATCGAAAAAGAAATAGAAGTTAAACGCGATTATTTGTGCTATATAATTGTCATTTCTGTGTAATTACGCTAACAACAGATATAAAAACTTTTTCTGTAAGTGTTCCCGAACGCAGTCGACCACTCTGATACGAAAACAAACAATATTTCATAAATAACTCTCCAATATCAACAGACAACGTGATTGTTTATATTCCTTTACTACCGTTGCTTTACACGAAAGCGTTTTGGGAACTTTTTAACATAAGAAGCGAATATTTCTAAATGAATGTTTTCTTCATGCGTAATTAAGTTTTAGAAGTCTATTAGCAACTTAAATGTATTTCAGCTTTGATCATTGCATATAACTAATAAGTATGAGATAGTCTTCATTATTTGAAATTGGGTTTAATTTCAAAAACTTATTTATTATGGTCACCGTCTAAATGTAGCGTATAAAAAATAGCGTTCCATAGCTAAAAAATATTTTCGATAACTTCCATACTTTTAGAATAAAAGATGTAATCATCAATTTTGATAACATTTCCGTTATCGGTGAAGATTTTTTATTGGCACTTTTATGTAAAGTGCCATCGAAAATTGTGCACGTGTGCAGGCGCCTTTATCGTGAGGTAACATAAACACACTCAATGTTCGTTGAGTGTTGTGTTTATAAAAACCCAAACATCGCACTCGAGTGCTTAGGAAAATGCATTTTCTTAATGCTTTATTTGATACACCTGACCACAATTACTCTACTCTAACACTATTATTGACCATACTAATATTAACTTTTTGGTGCGGTTTTTAAACGTATGAAGCGATTAAAATGAATAGACTTCTTAAATCTAAATTTTAAACTTTGAAAAAAATCTAAGAATTGCGATATGGACATGATAATTGTTCCTATTATTATATTCACCTCTTAATATCATTTCGACAAAACAAATCAGAATATTTAGCGGGGCTATTTACTTAAAACATTTTATGGTTAAAGTTAAATTAAGATCAAATACAAAATCAAAGAATGCGTGTGATAATGAAATGCTTTTGACCCTTGTTACTTAATCGCTAACCAAAATAGGACCGATTTTTTTTTTCAGAAAATTAGGATCCATTCAGAAAATTGATTCAAACAGGTTCTAATATTTAACACAACGTATGATAACAATCACCGACCTACGCAAAACACATTAATGCTAAGAGTAATCACTTGTTCACTTTTAACTTATCTCACCCGGGAAAAGCGGATCTGAAGGCCGCCGGGTAGAGCGCCGGCAGAAAGGCCGGGCCCCACGGCGGCAGCAGCAGCGGGCTCCACAGCAAGCCCGCCGGTGCCAGCAGCGGCGGTGCCCGGCTCTCGCCATCACCCTCCGCACTCCTCATCTCCCGCACGGGAGAACTCGCCTTCGGAATTATCTTGACGGTTGATAACACTCGCGGGGACACGTGCTACGTCTCGCGACGTCGCCTCCGCACTAAACAACCCTCGAGTGGCCCTCGGGGTGAACAACACCCCGCCCGCCCTCGCCTCGACAGCCCACTCAGGCACGAGGGTGCTCCACCGACCTCCGCCAATCCGGGACCCGCGTCGTCTGGGCGGACCCCGGCGCGCCCAATCCGCGATCGCTCCCGACACAAAAAAACTGGAGTATACACTCTGAATAGAGGAGCTTTCGACGCAGCGCGTTTGTTATGCCGCTTTTTGTAATGAGTACGCGCGTTAAGCCCATTGTTGAAGCCCGGTCCGTTATGGACGCCGCGCCAAATGCCCGGATAACGATTTTCATTTAGAGTGTTTTTAATAAGTCCATGTAAGCTCGTATTTGTCGTGTCTACGTTTGTATCAACTCAAACTGTCAATATATGTATTCATAGCAAGGAAAGTCCCTCGTTATTAGTTTGCATTAGCATTTTAATCAACACAGATACCTAATCCAATTGAAAAAAAGAAACACTTTTATAAAACGAGACTATAAAAGATTTTTTTAAGAAGTTAAATATGAAGAGTAACGATTTGTTGTTATATTTACCTTTTTAATAACAATAATGAAATGTAAATGTTTACCATAAAATATAAAATAATTCTTGAAGTGATTGTCCGTCGCAGTTAGGTATACCTAATGACTAGGTACAAGGGACAGGTATTTAAACAAGTCGAAGCGGCTTAGTCAACAAGAAGTTTTGGCACATATGGAAGTACTTAGAGCACCGTCGACACCGGACAATGGTAATGAGGGTAGTTCCCCGAACAGGTACAAACTTCCATAAGTTTATGACTTGCACGTGTGCGCCGCATTGTCTCTTTTGTAAGAAGACCAACAACATTTGTTTCTACTTAACGAAGTCACAACAACAAAATTTTATAGAAATCTTCAAGACTAAAACCCAATAATCACAAGCAACAAATACTTACTAGGGTTTTTTTTTTCAAAAATCATTATGATAAGATTCACCACAAGTTATGAAAGACAATTAAAATATTTAATATAGAAAACTTTTATTAGACACAATTGTCTGATTAAAAGTAGCGTATCTTATATTTACAACTTTAATATTATTTTTTGTTTTATACTCCAATTGAATATGAAAAGAAGGTATTTTAAATACAGAGGTGGATTAATTGTAATTAATTTCTTACTAAAAAATCAATTTTATACAATAACTCAACGTTCAAGCTAAGCACAGCTAAAAGTTAATTATTAAAGAACTAAGTTAAATCATTAAGTAATCGGATTAGTTTAACAAGTTGCAGGTGTGCAACTGGCTTAGGACTACAATACGCGAGCGCCATCTGGCGAGTTAGCGAGTTACTAACCTAAAACAATAGCAACCTCTTCATACAAACAATAAAACACTTAACAGATGGTCACTTTTACAGAAAACTTAAGATACAAAAGAGCCTTGCTTTAAAAATAACTTTGCAATTTTAAATTGGTTTCAAGTTTTATATAATTTATCATGTACGATTTCATTATGTTATTTTGGTTTAAAAAATAAAATAATCTAAACCAATTACAAATACGCTATTTAATTCCACAAAGAATGTGATTTTTGATTATTAATTTTGGTTCAATGATTTATATCGCACTTTTAAAGTATAAAAATATAGCACTACATTAAAGGGAAAAGAAAACGGCTTGTAAAGCGCTGTGGCCGCATCAAAGGGCAACAATAACAAAGGGCAATTACACAGGGAACCATCCCCTAAGTGGCGTGCAGCGGGCTACGTGAATCGTTTAATTGACTTATTGAGAATGAGTTTTTAAAATATCTGTTTGAAACCATCGCTCCGCTCGCCCGTTTAATTTGCAGTATACCCAAAAGTTTACGATAAAACATCTCGAATATTCTCATATAATAATTTATACTAGAAAAAGATTTGGACATTTCTTACTAAATTACAGACCCGACTTTAAGAATACTTTTTCTAACAGAAATGTTTTTTGCCCGGTATCCAGATATGTTTTATTTCGCTATCTAATTAAATTTTTGTTGGCTTCTTATTTACAAATGTTTGTCTTTTTGTCAATTTTTTATTGTCCCGCGAAAATCAGATAAAACTCAATTTTATTCAATTCATGGTAAACAATCCTTCAGACTATTGGAAATATGTCTATTATTTCCAATAGTTTTAAAATAGGAAAATACATCACAAAAAGCATCCGTCAAAATTACTAACAGAGTATTGTAGTGTCTGTATTTTTAGGTTATACTATATCGGTAAGGTGCGAGTGCGAGGGCCAGATTTGTGAGGGTCGGGGGCAGGTGCGCGCGCCCTCTGCCGGCTCACTGTATCACTCAATACGCGACCTCCCAGCTCAGCGCAGCCCTACTACCATAGATTTATTGCCTTCATCGGGAAACGTTCGTTAGCGATCATCAATATCTGTCTACTAAACATATTGACGCACATTTACGGAGTTACGTATAGACGTTATTGAAACAGCGACGATAGTATGCAAATACGATTTATGATACGGTTTGGTTATCATTCTTCTAACCAGTGCGCTAACGTTTAATGAATTCGGAATATCGGAAGGAACATTGACTTAAAAACAATTAATCTTAAATGCGAAAGTTTAGATGGATGGATGGATGATTGTTAGAGTTTGTAATCTAAACGGCTCAACAGACCTCTATGAAATTTGACATAGACGCAGAGAATAATCTGGAAGAACACACCACTTTTGTTTCTTTTTTCCACGCGGACGGAGTCGCGGGCGAAAGCTCAAAAAAAACATGTACATACTTAAAAAGTGTTACTAGTTGGACTTTAATGCGTTTTTAGGTGAAATAAGCGAATGTCTTATTTTACTTACAATATAAATCTTTTTACGAAAACTAAAACAACATCGAAAATTTACCTTTAAATGTTAAGCAAATAAACTCACTTAATATGGTAATGTAATAAGTAGATGAATCGAAACAATTTATAAAGCCTATCATTAGGCGGCAACTATAAAACAGTCGTTTCGTATTAGCAATAGCTAATGATAAAATAATAGAGGGATGATTTTAGGCACGATAGAAAAGTAATTTACATAAAACTTGAATACACAATACTGTAGTCCGTGCGGTTCGTACCAAGCGCCGGTGCCCGCGAGAAAAAAATACCCCATGGCCAAATGTACCCATCGCTATAGCTTCCTTTCGCTTAAACGTACACGGTAGACAACTTTTTGCATAATGCGCACTGTAATGAAAGCTACTGTCTTTAAATTAAGCTATAATATCAGAGTTAACTGAAAGTCACCGACTTTATACATTACAAACTCCTTAAATACTCATTAACCGTTACAGAAAATCCTCTGTCAGTCAACGCTGTACTAAAATAAACTTTACGTACACAAAGTTTCTAGATTGAGAAAAGTTCGTACATTTTCATCGGCCGTAGAGAGTAAAAGTCGATGGGTTTTGACTGTGTATTTCGTTACGGCAATCTGGTTAGGCGCATTCACCGTAAATGGTCGGTGGCACGCGAATTCGCGAAGAGGGTTTCCAAACCAATTAAGGGCTCGAAGGCACGGGAAGGCTTGGGAAGGTGCAGCTGACGGATTACGAGCTCGATGGCACTCGGCGACTGGCGGCTGGTCTATTGGTGTGGGACACGCGAGCGTAACCACCAGACCGACTCAACTTGTATGGTGCAAGTGCAAGTCAATCTTCCTATATTTAAATTTTTATCTTAACCACCTTAATGTTGAAAATGCTGATTGATAATTAACTGAAATCTAGCGTCATGTAAAAAGACCTAAAATATTGTTTTTCTTAGTAAATGTAAGATAGTTGATTGAGGAATACATAAATGAGCATGTTTCAGAGAAAGATAGAAAAACGGTTGGTTAATTATTTACCTACTATACAATATACCTAGGTTCTTTAAGCCAAATTATCATGTCTACTGCATGGTATTGTTATAATTTGCTAGTTGTAAAACACATTAAAGTAAGGTGACTGTATTTGGTTAATATAATAAACCATTTTATTTATTGGTCTATTTAACGATGGCTACGTTTTCGACTTGAATCTTTTGTGCACCAATAAGAAGATTGCAGTAAAAATAAATGGCTGGCTCGTAAAAGAGCTACATGCAATTCGAATGCACTCAGACCGAGTCGGTGGCTAGACGGTTTTACGTTTTTAACTGAAGACGCCGGCGGTCGCAGCACGTCATGGAAAATACAAACTTTTTATTAGGCAATCCATTTGTTTAATGGTTTGGATTTTAAGACGGTTTTTGGAATACCTTATACGGAATTTTTAATTTGCAGAAACCAACATCGTCAATCAGAATATGCAGTGGGTTCTATTTGTAATAGCGTAGTAAGTAGATGGTTTTCTACTTACGCAATGCAACTTTAATTATTGTGCAATAACAACTGAATCAAATAAATGATTATGTGTATTGTGTTACAAGTAGTATAGTCAGGAATCGCAGAGTAAGCAAATTCAGGACAATTTATTTTAAATTAACAGAATAGGTGCAATGTTCTTGTCGAAGTAGCACTTTATGTTAATGGATAGATGTACATAATTCAAGTATAGGTAACAGCAATAAGACATTTTGTTTTAAGTAATAGATATATTTTAATTTTTTTTTTACTTCTATAAACGCCGTGCTCCCGACAACAATAACTGCGCATGACTTACATACCTAAGCCATAGGATATTATATCAACTCATAATATGCATACATTCCTTAGTTAACCAATGCAAAATGTCACATAGCTCTTAAGACATATTAAAGTACTGATAATTATGAAATCTATAAAAACACCAATTAATAAAATCTGTCTTGTAAACAGGTAACAAATTACATCTTGGTTTGAATTCATTTTGAATAGACATAAAATTCTCAAATGTAATTTATTTTGTATACTTACGCATAAGTGCCGTATCTATAGTCTTCTTCAGGCTGCCTGTACTGACAGCTAGGATCTAAACCGGCGCCGTAGTCCGGCGGCGCCACCGGCCAACTGTTGTCATAGTTGTAATAGTCCCCATAACCCATGTCATTCTCTCCCATCATTTTCATCATACACTAAACGACCGCTAAATAAATCACACACTAATACAGTCAATTATGATCGATTACTGATTGCCATTTGATAACTGTTTTGTGTAGAATCACCACCGATAAGGCGTTTAGTTTTCGTTGCGAGCAGTCGCCCGGAGACCGCAATAGTATCGACTGATCGATGGCTCACCGGCCATTATCAATAAAATCGTATCCTTATCATATCTAACAGCTTTCCCCTGTGATACGGGGACTTTTATAAACGCGGCGATCCGCTTCAATTCAAATATTGTGCAGCGAATTGCTATGAAATGGGTGGTCAAAGTGCCATTTAGCCAGCATGCGTCATATTCTCTAAGAAGCCAAGTTCAGATCTAGGAAGTACTGATAAACTGTAATACGTTAAAACTGACGGAAAAGTGTGAACTGTAGGTATAAATTACATTTTTTTTTAATTTTCAGAGAATTTCGGTTATTATTGTATTTCGAATTTTAGGTTATTATAACATAAGTAACAAAAAGGAGATATCACGGAGAGCTGCGTTATTTTTTTTTCTTTTAATTATTTTTCAAATTCTCTTTAATAGTAAAAAAACATACTTTGAGTAATAAATGTAATCGTATAACTTCTTAATACTTTGAGAATTTATTTAGTGTAAATTTGAAACATAATAAAAAGTGGGTACGTCGATTACCTCTGGTGGGACTCGAACCCACAATCCTCGGCTTAGGAGGCCGATGCCTTATCCATTGGGCCACAGAGGCGGCGGCAGAGCGTCGTCGCTGCGGGCATACGTTGTGATGCGGTTGCGTCACCGCGCGTCACAACCCAACCACGACTACGATACGCACATGTAAATGAAATGTATAACAAAATTATAATAACAAAGTAATAAATAATAAGTTATACGTACTAATGAAGGAAATAAAAGCATTTAAATTTCGAATAATGTCTTTTATTTTTATCAGAGGTCATTCAGATTAACAAATTCCATCATTCGAGACGAATGCTTAAATTTTTACATTGTCTAATGGATTTCTTATCACGCTGTAACGGAGAAAACTCATACGCAACAGATATCGGCGCTTAAAGGCTTGGTTTACATTACATCAGTAAAGTAGGCCAGTAGCTCTCAAAACCAGGGTTTGCATGCTACTGGCATCATGTAAACTAGAGCCAGTGCCATAACAAAATCTATGCTACGGTCAAACTATACTGGCCGCGTATTAACCAACCATATTTTCAGAGTTTTAAAATACGTTTTACTATTTTACATATGTGAATTAGTAAAAAGGCGTAATGGCTACATTGGTAAGAAAGAATGAACTTCCCCTTTTATTCCAGTTTCCTTTTTTTTGGGCCCTAAATAGGAGCTTTTTATATGTAGGTTTACGAAATATCAGAATCACAAAAGTAGTTTTGTGTTTTGTGATAAACTCTGACGCCTGTCATTATAAAATCAGTTAATTATCTTTGGCAGTTTTGACACCGAAGATAAGGATAGGTGTTAATTAAAGTATTACAAACCGATAGTCAATATTAATATATAAAATAATACTATTAAATTAACTCACGGGTATATATTTATAGAGAACCTCGGCCTGATTACGAACGCAGTAGTTTTGAGTTATTTTTAAAAAGATGAAAATGACAACGTTTCATTTGGGGTTTTTTACGTTTTCTGTTTTTCTAGTTTTTTATATAAAAAATGAAATTTTATCTATAGATCTTCTACCAAATTAGATGTTGTACTAAAAATGATCGATCGAATTCTAAAATGTAGTAAAATGAAACAACATTTTCTAAAATAATTTATTTTAATCCAATAAATATATTAAATAAAATTAATAATACAATATAATAAACAAAGAGCATACATTTCTTACAATAGACTAGCTACCGCTAAGTATACATTTAGATGTTACTGACTAATATTGAATTCTGTTTGTTTATAATTTGCCTAAATAAATATAGAGACCGCATAATTTCCGAAATGAATTTATTCACAAACTATTGTCTTATCATACTAATATTATAAATACGAAATTGGATGGGTGGATAGATGTTGATGAAATTCGGTACAGAGAAACACATACGGCCAAATAATAAAACATTTATATAGTAAAAGCATCACAATTGATAAGCCCTCGCTTAAACTAAAATTTTATATAAACTTCGACGTCGCACAGATTGTAAGCGGCAAGTTTCAGAACTCCACTTTTAAGCTACTAATTAAGTTTTTTTAATTACACGTGGATAAAGTAACTGACAATCTCATATTTCTATATTTTTAAAGTTCTGTTCATTCGTGTTGTCAGTTTGTGAATAAATTCATTCGATTTTTTTATGTTTTATTTATCTAGACATTTTCCAAATGGTCGTAATTCAGTATTTTTCGGTGACATAGCTCACTGCTTGTCCCTCTTGCAGGAGAAGTGCACGATGTCTCCGTCGGGATACCTGACGAAGGCGCTCTGGTGACCAAACCTCTTCTTGCAGACAGGACACACGTTGTACTCGTGCATCACTACGCTCTTAGACTCGTGGTAATGTTTCACTTCTTTCACCTGAAATAATTAGAAAAATAATTAAAAATGCATGATTTATGTGCTCGGTTTTTCGTATAGACGGATGCCAAAAATGCGATTAATAGCAAAAATCTAAAACATAGCTTATTCATGGAAACGGAAATATCATTTTTCATATTTTTATTCGCAGACAATTTAAAAAAGTGTGTGTTATATTAATTTTGTGACTTTTATTGCATAATCTTCGTACTTTTTTACAGAGATGTATAAAAACAATATCTATAATTATAAAGCCCGCTACACACTTTTTAGTTTTACAGTCGAAATGTACAGTTAAAGATGTGCGTTTGGCATAATTTGAAATATCAGAAAGTTGCTCCTATTCAGTTAAAACTGGAAGTTGTGTACTGTAAGATATAATAAATAGTCATATACCTGTAGATGTTCAGCGTAGAGGAGTCCTTTCAGTATCTGCATGTTTCTCTTGTCCGTGATGTGCTTCTGCAGCGCGCTCTGCAGGAACTGCTTGAGGCGCACCAGCGGCACCGAGCTCGGCAGCACCGACAGCGCCTGCAACAATGTATTTAAAACTTACGTTTAATCATACTAATATTATAAATGCGAATGTTTAGATGGATGGATGTTGTTAGCCTAAACTCCTCAACGGATTTCAAAGATATTTGGTACAGATGTAGATGATAGTCTGGAACATATAGGCTACTAACTTTTGTTTTTTTTTAACTTCACGCGGACGCAGTCGCGGGCAAAAGCTAGTATTTTTAATAAAGATTTTCATCATCGCCCGTAGTTTTACTTTTTTCTTGGTTTTTCTCCCAAATTGATCTATCCGTCGTTTAAATTATTCTAAGTGACTCCGCTTGCTCATAACAATACCACACCGATGACAAAAGTGAAATGGTAGTAGCTGAATTTTAGCCCCCATCCCTTTGTTTTAAGGAAGCGGACTTAATGGAGGGAGGCGTATAGAGTAAAAAATCTCTTTTCTGCGAGTCCCCTCCTCCGTCGATTAAAAGGTTCTGCAATTTCATATATGTATGGGCAGCGGTAACTTCTCTATTTTCATTAATACAGGCGGTCGGTCGATCATCGAGTGGAAACGCCCATGATGACCACCCTTATATTTCGTTTCAACCTTTAAATGCATAATGATGCATATATACATCAGTCTTCTCTTCCACACCCAATAGATTATTTTTTTAAAAATATCTTCCCTTTCATCTATGTTCAATTTACTACCCGTTACAATTAAGGATCTTAAAAAGAAAAAAATCATGCATTTAAGTGTTAAATTATGATGAAAATGTGTAAAATCTGATTTTTTGCGTGTGAAAGCCAAGAAGTAAACAAAATGTGTTGTATTATATTGTGTCTAAAATATGTTAGAGCAATGATTAGCTGAGTTACCTTGACTGGTGATATTTGATCAGCGTGCTTGTCGAGTATCTGCAGCGCTGTCTCGAGGTCGGGTTCGGCGGCGCGGGCGTGGCGCGGCGCGGCGGCCAGCGGGCCAGCCAGCGCGGCCAGCGCGGCGTGCGCCGGCTGCAGCAGCGTGCGCATCAGCACCACGTACACGTCCCGCCCCTGCCCCTGCCCCTGCCCCTGCCCCTGCACCTGCCCTTGCCCCTGCCCCTGCCCCTGCCCACTGCCCGCACTCACCTGCTCGCAGTACCGGACCGCTCTGTCTACGTCGCCTGGACGAATGTTTGCATTTTGTTGTAACAAAAAGTATTATTACAATAAAAAGTTTATTTATACATCTTTCGCCAATAAACTGCTTTGGCAGTTATTTGTGTTTAGTTATTATTTATGTACTTATTAAATCTTATAAATTCACATTTATAATACTAATATTATAAATGTAAAAGTTTAAATCGATTGTTTTTACGAGTATCATTATCCCGTCGTTTACGCAACTAGCTATCTACTAGCTGGTACCTTATTGGTTTTATAAAAGTTATGGTAGAGTTCGACATTGCAAGAAACAAGACAATTTTTCTATAAGTGGAACACCGCCGATTTCCGTGATTGTACTTTTGTACATTGCCTTTTCACTTTAACGCAAAATGTTTAAAATTTGAATTTTCTTTACTTAATTTTGGCGTTTGATTCAATTCACATAGCCACATTCAAAGGTATAAGAACGAAATGTTTAAATTAAGTATATTTAGATACTTTTAAATCAATACCTGTACGAAAACATGTATTTATTGTATTCAAACTAACTTACCTAAGATATGTACATAAATAGCGAGGGCTTGTTCGTGTCTTCCCAACTTGCCCAGTATAACTGCTCTTTCTTCAAACAGGCAATCATTAGGAAAAGGCAGTATAACTCTTTCAGGCGTATAATGAGAAGATTTTTCTAGAAACGCCAATAATTTAGCCTTAGTATGTTTTACTTCTTCATCCGTTGTACCTTCACTTTTATGTTCCAACATTTTCTCTCTGTACATACTAATTAACGCATCATGGAATAAAGAATTAGTTTCGTTCCATGTGTGAATAACATGTTCTAGATACGGTATGACTAAAGATTTGTGTTCACGTAATAGAAAATCTAGAACTTTCGGTCGAGATAGATTCTCAACTTCGACAATATCCTCTGTAAATATCTTCAAGCCTTCTTCGGGATGCTCTCGTAGTATCCAATCGGAGAATTTGAATATTAAATTTATATGCTCAGAACCTGGAATATAAAGTTAACATCATCATCATCTCCTTATCCTACTCCCGTAGGGTCGGCGCAACAGGTTTTTGTCCTCCACATAACTCTATCATATGCCATCTCAGTCATCACTCCCTTTTTGATCCATCCATCCATCCATCTCTTTCTAGGTCTACCTCTACCGATGTACCCTTCCACACTCATAAATAACGTTCTCCCTGCAACATGCGATTCATCCCTCCTTATAACATGCCCATACCATGCTAACCATACCATGGCATATAAAGTTAACATTTAAAGGAATATTTCACAGTTTTTTTACTAAGGTTTCTTTTAATTATCTCTTCAACGGATCTCAATTTCGTTTTTTCTTTTATTTCGAAATTTTCGCGGGCTATAACTAGTTTATACTAATATTATAAAAAGGAAAGATTTGTATATATTAAACAACTCAAAGACTGGACCGATTTCAATAATTCTTGCACTATTAACAAGGTGTTATCACGGAGTAGCATAGGCTGTGTTTTTACTAATTTTTTAATATCACGCAGGCAGTCGCGGGCGCCATATTATACAAAATAAATTATGATAAAACGATTGTTTAAATGTTTTTTTTTATTAGAGAAGGGGGGCAAACGAGCGGCGGAACATATAGGTGGTGAACGACGCCCTTGGACATCAAACATCAGAGGAACTACAGATGCGTTGCCGGCCTTTTAGGAAAACGTAGGCTCGCTTCTTGAAGGACCCTAAGGGCCTGTCCCACCGGTGGTAGATAGAGGCCCTGATAGTGTAAATATGACGTCACGTCAGATAAAATACAAAATTTCTGTCCC